AGTAAATCTACTTTGGTAAAAAAGAATTTTGTAATGAAGGATTAGGATTATATAATCTTGAGCCTTAAAAATTATTGTAAAAATGTAAAAAAAAGTAAATTTTTTATTTATAATTAATTTCATAATAAATTTATGAGATTATTACCTCAATTGTTTCATTATTTAAATGATCTTGTAAGAGATTTGCAAGTGAATTTTGATCTAAATTATTATTGAATGCAATATTTTATCTGGTTAAAATCTCTTTGATTTTCTCAATACTATATCGTTTAGTATTTTTTTCTATAAATTAAATGAATGAAAAGTTATAATAATTGATTAAAAAACTTGATATTAAGCAAAACAAAATAATATTATACCTGTTGCATGTGATATAGGTATTGTTCACATAGATTAAATTTTGAAAGATATGTTAGTATATGGTTATAGTTTTAAAAAATTATTTTTTAATAATTTTTGTATTTTGGCTGGAGAAAATTTTATCCATTTACCTATATTTGGTAAAACTCTTGCAAAAAATATAACCAGAAAATGGATCTTCTACAGGCCATTGCCATTCAAACCAATTAAATATTCCAGGAAGTGTACTTATCTTATCCTTGATTATTTCTCGATTAGATTCAATTTAACAAACTGTAGTACTACAAAGTTTTTTATTGCATTTTCAATATCACTTCTAATAGTAATATTATTTCTAAATCTGACATATCATTTAATTGCATGTGCTATCTGTAAATAATTAATTATACAGATTCAATATTTGGTTAAACAATAATATTCAATAATAAATAATTATTATTTACTTATTGATGCATAATACGAGTCAATAGTTGTTTTTACCTTTCCAATCTTTAAAAAAATCCATTTTTGAATAATAATATCATATCAATCTTTCTAATATGCAATAATAGCCATCATCTCAGAATTATGATAATGGGATCTATTATCAGAAATTATTATGATCTATTTTGGTTTTATGGATAAAGATTCAATAACAGAATGAAGTAACGATGTAATAAACCATATATCTTATGTAGTATCAGCTGACCAATGATCAAAAGTAGTAATAGTAAGTTTAAGTTCATTTTTTGTTTTTGTATACATCAAAATAGTATAAAGAGTTTAGCCTTTTTTTCTAAAAAAAATTCTTGTTTTATTCATGTGCAGTCTTTAACAAGATACACATCTTATAATTTACTACTAATAATGTACCTTTACTATTTAATTCTAATAAATTTGCATTAAACTGTGCATTTAGGTAAACTTTTCATATTTGATGTGCCAAATAATAAGAAAGCCATTTTTGTTGATCTTCTAAAAATTCATATTCTTCAGATGAAAAAACTGAATATAATTTATCAAAAAAATAGTAAAATTATAAATAATTTGTATACTAATTTTTATGATCTTCTGTATATATTCTAAAAGCATATAATAAACATGATCTATACAATCATCATGTGTAATACTTCCATCACTTCTTATATAAAGTTCACGCTTAAAATTTCTTTTCATATGACATCATAATATTTCTAATTCATGTAATAAAATTTTCTAATAAAAAATATTTGGTTTAAATAAATATAAATAAATAATTATTTAAAATAAATATTTTATTGTTATAAATAATAAAATTTTTGTACATAATATCTTTGACATAAAAAAATAATTTGTCTGAAATTTCTGCAAATATATTATATCTATATTAAAAACAAATTGAATATAATCCTTCTAAATCTTCATAATATTTAAATGGACCATTTGAAATTCTTGTTATAAAAGTAGTTCTTTTTATTCTATTAGGATATTCCTCAGAAAAATTTTCCTACAATGCTTTTTTCTGATCTTGTAAATATAATATCAAAAAATCAATTTTAGGATTAACTTTATAGAAGCTCATAGATACATTGGCTTTATCAGAAAAAAATTATCAAATTCTTTTTTCATTTGTTCAGTTAAACGTAAATCCTGAAATATTTTTAGTTTATCAATAATTAGACATTCAGGTCCATTGATTCATTTAAACTTTCTTGCTGTATTGAAAATAGTATTTGAAACCTGTATAGAAAATAGTAAACTAAATTATTTTAATGTAATTATAAAATATTTTAATTAAAGAAAAAATAAATAAATGATATTACATTACATAAGCATAAGGATCATCCTAAATTCAGCCAATCAGGATCGTCTAAATTTTGATATACAATAAACACTAGATAAGGTAAAGTCATTACGCTACATATGTATTATCGTTAAAATTTTTTTCAAGAGCTTCAAAACTAATCACGAAAATAACACACTCCTTAATCCCATGCTAAAGTAGTTTAATCCCAAAAAAACTAATACTCAATAGATATAATATGATATAATATATGGATAAAGAAAACATAAACTTAAATTGCATCAAATGTAGTAGCTTTTTTTTAACAAAATGGAGAAAAATTACAGCATATATATTAGAACAATTACCAAAAAACCCAGAATAACGCATTACCTGAAGTAAAAACTTATTATATGAAGAAGATTTACTTTGTCATAAATGTTATATGTATTATTTAAGAAACTTGATAACAAAAGCAGAACAACAAGAACAACAATTAAAACAAAAGCAGCACGTTAAACTACCACCTAATGTGTCATCACGAAGAATCTTAATTCCAGTTCAATCTCAACCTCGAGCTTTAAGAAGCACTCATATTGCTATACCTATAGATGTTTTTGAACAACAAAGTGTTGAATTAGTTTCTTTGCATAACATTGTAGAAAAGCAACAATCTGAGTTAGATTTTTTACATGAGCAAATTTTATGTGTGAAAGAACAATTAGCAAATGAGATGTGAAAATGTTCAAAGATTTCAAAAGATTAGTTATTTATTTAAACAGTGTACTATAGATATAATAATTTTATAGATTAATCTTTGTTGTAGTAATAGATGCGTTGAGAATATTTAGAATTATCATTAGACTTAATTTTTTTACCTTTTTATCATTCTAAGATTGGTAGCTTAATAGGGAATAGAGTTCCAATAACAGTCTGTCACTAAATTTAATTTTTTTTTCTTTTTTAATTTTTGGTTTTTAACGAAACTGTAATTAATCAAATTTAGCTTAGTCTTTTAGAATTAGAAAACTGGTCATTTATTTTATTTTATAATGTATTTCTTTTAAAAAAATATATTGAATTAAATAAAATTAAATGGCGATACTATGTAAGATCATAATAATAATTTTTTTATTTAATTTTTTAGATATATCAATATTTTCTCCATTATTTCAAAATTGTGTTAAGAAAATGACAGATATTTTGTATCGTTTGCAATATCATCAAAATGGCAAAAGAATTTATGATCCTGAAGATTTTTTTAATACAATTTCTGCTTAAGCACCTGAGTTATGCTAATTTTTTGATATGTTATATCAATCAACAAATCTGACTGGAAAATGTGAAAAAAACTAATGTTACTAGTAAAGGCCAAATTGTAATACTTTGTTATTAACTTGCTTCTCTTTGTAATAAACAAATGACTTTACTTAAACGTAATGCTGGATTATTTTTTAACATTCAGGATTATCTAAGAAAGGGATTAATATTTTATCAAATATAGGAATTTCAACTACTTTTAAAACAATTAATCAAACAAGAGTGAAAATTAAAGATAATCATTGTAGCAATTTTTTGGAGTATTTTCAAAATTATATATGTATAGCTAATTAATTAGTAATTTTAATAATTAAAATAAATATTTAACGACCAATTAATTTGTTTATAGATTGAATTTTTATGTATCTTGAATGTGGATGATTATCACGATATTCATGAAGCCCATCATCCTGCAACAACATCTCTTCATCATATTTCTCACATGGCTACTATTATTGTTAATACACCACCAATTTCCGCAATTAAACAAATTACCAAAGAAAATTTTCATGTTCATAATCCTTTAATAATTAATATTAATGCTTTATGTGATACCTTAACTTACCAATACATGTCACATTTTAGTTTTAGTTATACTGATTGATGTCTATTTTGGTATGATGTTTCAGATATAACAAAAATGAATCCAACTGACTTAGAAGATTGGCTAACAGTTTATGTATATGATCCTCAAATTAATTGTAAAAAAAATCAACATTCTATAGAACATGTCAAACTTGTTGATTTAATTCCACTGGATCTTAAATCAACTAAACAATATCTTGAGACGCTTTAGGTTTTATTTAATATTGCATCTATTAAAAATTATTTACAGTAAAATGTAATTCCAGTTCCTGCAGATTTTCCTAGACAATATTTATACGATCTGCTATTATTCAAAAACTAAAGGGGAATAATAATATACCTAATAAAATCTTAGAAATTATTCTTATGTTAGGCCCTCTTCATATTTCTTTGAATAGTCGTGAAATTCTTATTATGAAATATTGGCCATTTTTTGATAAACTTTGGAAAGCAGTAATGGAACAACGAAAAAAACTAGCTGCTAAACCTAAACCTTGGTGAATTAACTTAATTCTACATATTACTTATTCTGCTTGGCTTTTAATTAAAACAAAAGTAACTCAAAAGTTTCAAACTTCAAAGGATTTAGAATATTGTACTTTTATTGATTTATTGGACAATTTTATTTCTTTAACATTTGAAATTTATGCAAATCTTTTTCGTGAAGGATTTTTTGATTATTATATTAAATCTATATTTCATGTATAGTGTCTTTTTCAAAGAATGAAACGTAAAAATTATGATAAAGCTCCTTTAATTTTTCTTTTAGATATTATTTATTGGGAAACTACTGGTCATCCTTTTTTGAATGTATGCAGAGTAATCTTTCATTTTTTAATGAATACTTTATAGAAAATTTCCATTCTAGTTTACGAAGACAAATATCACATAAAATATTAAATCATGAAGGCCTTCAAAAAGATGCATTTGTTGTAGATGCTTTACGTAAAGATAATAATTTTAATAATACATATGTCCAAAAAAAGCAATATTCATGGAAAGGTAAAAAATTACAAAATTTAATTTTTCTTACAGCAGATTTTTTATTAAAATTTTTTTCTTAATTATATGATAATTAAAATAAAAGTTATATCATTGAACCTAATAGAGGAAGACAATTAAAATATCCACAGTATTTTTTGGCTACACTAAATACAAAAGTAGATGTTATGCTTCTTCCAACTGGATATAATTCAAATCAGCCTCCTTCTGAAAAATTTTGTGATTATGATCAATGTTCAATTTTATTGGATACTGAAAATTCACAGCAGGCTTTAATTTGTAATTATGTATATCATAGTAATTGTTTAAAAATTTTAAATTTCATATATTTACCTTGTATACGTTATTTTTGTGATAGAATTAAAAAACTTTCTCAAAGTTTTATGGATAGATTATCAAAAGAGGTTTTGGAAAATTCAGAAGAGGAGGAAGAAGCAATTATAAATGAAAATAACGAGAATGATGATATGTTTGAGATGGATAAATTAGATGAAAACTATTTAGCACAAGAAAAGTTCTTTTATTCATTGTCTTTGTTTTGATTTTTATAAACTTCTAGTTTAAATAAACATATCTGTAAATTTTTTATTATCGTTTCCTATATATTTTGTATATATTTTAATTAAAAACTAATGATCATTAGCGATCGACAATGATCAAAAATGATCAACAGACCATTACTAAATTAGGAATGTTTCCTATGCTTTTTGAGTTATTTTAAAGCTAAAAGAAAGGAAATTTCGTAAAGATCTTAATTTTATCAAATATCGGCTAAACTGTAATGAACAAGAAATAACCTGAATTCATACAGTTCTCTATACTTCATATTATGATTGGATTACAAGAAATTGCAAACGTTCATGCAGTAATCAAATCCCATATAAATAATCTTACAAGAATTCTTCTTTGTCTTATTAAGTTTTCTATTTTACAAAATAAATTTTATGTACAATGGCAAAATCTTTATAAGCAAATGAAAAAATTGCTAAAAGATATCGATCTACTTAATAATATCAATAATACATAAAAAGAAAGGAACAGTGAATTTATAGACAAGATTGTGAGCTGTATTGTCAAGTACTCTTAGCTGAAATTACCACTTCCTGCTAAGAATACTAGTAATATTTATTTTTTACTTATGCAATAGTAGTAGCCAAGTTTAATTTTACTTTTGAACTTGTATCTGGATTTGCATATATCCAGATCGATTCTTCTGACCATACTTGATGATCACTACTGCAAATTTCTGTATATGATATTCTATTATACCTATAAAATATAAGACGAAATTGATACTAAAGCTCTGGCATATGCTCAGAGACGTGAAGGAAGATACTTAGGCAAAGTTGGTCCTAATACATATTTATGATCATGTAAAAAGGGTCATCAATGGGAAGCACCATATAAAAATATGAAACAGAATTATAGATAATGCAACATTTGTCCTAATGTACTAGAAAGAACATGCCAGTATATATTTGAGAATTTATTACATAAAAAATTTTCACTCCGAAAGCCTAAATTCTTGGAGGGATTACATCTAGATGGTTATAATAAAGAATTAGGCTTGGCCTTTAAATATAGTAGTAGCTAACATTAGAGTAGTGACTAAAGATGACGCTGCAACTGGTTGCAATTGGTGACAAATAAGTATCACATGATTGCAATTAGTTGCAGCGCCATCTTTAGCAGTAACAGATATTACCTAATATCTTAAGGGATGGGGTTAATGAAGATCTTAGGTTACACATAATAAGCTAATTACATGATAATAAATAAGCAATAGTACGTAATAAAATATTGATCACATGAAAATCATTTGATAAAGTGGCTTAGCAAAATTTATTATTACATATATTTAGCATACATTTAAGCCATATGTATTTAGGCCGCATACACGTAAAATTTATTCATTTTCCATCTGAATTGCAAGCTCTTATTTCAAATTCCATTTTATCATATGACCTTTTTTGTTGAGATGGAAGAAGGAAAAAATCATCGAAAGATGAGTTTTGTTGTCTTTTAGGCTATCCTCGAGTAGTAGGATGTATAAATCGTTTATGATTTACTAAAAATGTAAGAGTGAGAAAATACTTTTGACAAATAAGGCAGCAAAGTCATAGGTATGTATTCTTTTCAATAGATGCACAATAAGCATCATAACCTGATTTTTTCAAGAGATCTCCATACTGAAGAATATGAATCGGGTTTATGAATCAGCCATCTTTAGCTTTAGTAATTGGTGATAAGAAACTATTATACAAATGAAGAAAGTCCATAGCTTCTTTAGCTTTAGGTGATCTACAGTAACTGGTATTTGTGCATCGTTTAATATCAAAAGAATAGGTATACAAATTACAATGGGTTTCAATCCAAGACCATGATACAAAACATTCAGAATGGGTATGTGTTATTTCTTTATTTATATCATTAATTTTTTTGTTCTTCCTTTTTTCTCCTTTTTAATTTTTTAACCTTTTTTTTTCATTTCCTCGAACTCTATGTGCTCAAATAAATTCGTGAGTACATCAACATAACAAGCATTGACCTTCTTTCTAAAGATCAAATCATGACGCCAAATTTTACAGAAGGCTTCTCCCGAATAATGAAAATTCTGAACGGCTAAGTTCAGATCTATAACTTTGCCTTGTGTATTCAAATGTACACCAAAATGATCAATTGGCAAAGTAATACCAGTGAGTTTACCAGACAATGTTACCATGCCTCTTTCAACTGGATTATACTTTAACTAACCTAAGGCATGTGTTCATATGCTTAAAAAATCTAAATCGAACTTCTTGAAAAGCTGATAATAGGCTTTAATATTTTTTAAATATCTAGGATTCTCATTTGGCCTCCGTTTACCAATAAAATTCAAATTGGTCAAACTGTTCTGTTTATTTTCAGCACATTATTGTATTGAGAATTTAAAGTAAAGGTTTCCAAGTCTTGCATATATGTAAGCAAAGATGTACTAAGAGATAATTGAAGACGTATAAAAATTGCCAACTTTCCTGTTCGCAATTCATCATTAGATTCGTTTGGGTTTATCATCAAATATACTGACGAAATTAATTTTTGTCCAAATCCAATAGGAAAATCATGGTCTGCTATGGTTATAGGTTCGTTAATAGATTGTAATGTGCAGAATGTACGATCTACTGCAGGTATTTCAAGTCCAATTTTCACTTTATCATCTTGAGAGATGACGACTGACATATCAGCAAAAGTGCTAGCGAATTTCTTTGCACACTTTACCGATGTGAGGCAATAATGGCTGTCAGGATATTTACGCATCTCAGTACGTGAAACTCCAGAGACTGCAACCTATGCTGGGTGGTGATGCGCTTTTGCAGCGATTAAGTTTGATTGGTGAGGTAAAAGATAATTATTTAATGTAGTCCTCGCCATGTAAACTTCATATCTTTCCTCAAGATTTTTAGCAAATTTTCTACTATCTGAACTTTGATAGCCTCTTTTTGTTATTTTGCATCAGCCGATCTAAATTTCACGCAATTGTGTATGTGTTTATATAGATCTAGATATTTGAAGAGAAATAGTAGCTTTCCAGGTTTATCGTAACGGACAACCTTATGATTTTTGATAAGTTGTCTTAATTTTTTTTCCTTACAATTTTGAGCATATTTGGCATTTCTTTTTAACTTGGCAATTCTATCTTTATTAGATTTAACTTCATCTCGCAAGTTTTCTATTTTTTGGTATATGTCATTATGAATCTGAGCATCACTGGTAATATTATAAATCTGCTCGTATTTGTAAATATTTTTTTCAGCGATTTGAATTGCATCCGCTGCCCTTTTTTTGAACTGAAGCATTAGCAGGAATTTTTAGTAAAAGGTTCACTGAACGAATTATGGAAGGGGAAGAAGGATTTGATTTTTCTCTAGGTATGAAACATTTATATCTCATTGATTGTATGTCATATAGGTTAAGTGGCGTAGCCATATAGTTCTGAATTATACCATCAATATCATCAACACTCTTCTTCTTAATACCATTCCACTCATTTATGACTTCTTGACAAATATCAGCACGATTGGAAGTATGATTACTTGTTTTTACCATAATACTATACACATAGGCATTTATAAACTCTTGATATTTATTAGTTGGTGAATTATAAATTGGCTTTTTATTAAATTTAGGGCTAAAAAAAAATGTTTGACAACTTATTTTTAATATTTAGAAGAGAATTTTTGCAAGTCAAACGCGAAATAAACACATTAAAATTTTGCGAATGTTAAATAAAATCTGCAGCTAATTTTTAGAAAGGATTTTCATGAATTTTTCATTTTTTTTTTTAATAAATGAATTTTCTTAATAAATTAACTTCTTTCAAATTTGCTAAATTTAGACTATAAACTTCTATAAACTATGATCTTTTTTTTTATTTATCACTACATAGACTATAATAAACTATATAAGCTATAATCATCTCACCATATAAACTATAATAAACTTTTTTTTGATTACTTTATTAACTTTATTTCGTCAGATATAAAAAATTATATTACGTGACTTCGCAGTATATCTTACCTGAGGGAGGAAGGTAGGCGCTTATATTAACATGATATTAGGTAATATCTGTCATTGCCTTTACTAAATTGTTCCTTATTTTCACCTGCAAGGGCAGATAAATCTAGACGTACAAATCTGACGTGATTGGGAAAAGAGGGCGCTATGCTACAGAGAAGGAGTAATTCTTATAACTATACCCTACTGCGTAGTAGACTTAGAAATTTTTATAAGAAACGCCTTATACGCATTTGGTTATATTCCAATACCCACTTAGGAGGTAATATAGGTTCTTTCTTAATATGTATTAACTGTTCTCTTACGAAGGATCATTGAGACTTGATTCATTTAAATAATATAAAATAGGCATTGGAGGATTCTTTTCAACAACAATTCTCTGAATCTTATGCAGGCTAGAAGACTATATCAAATCTGTTATTCTGCGTCATTCGAAAGGATCATTTTCCCACTCTCCAAAAGCAAGTAAAAATCGGATAGTAGTATCCTTTAGTAGTTATGGTTCATCAATATCTATTAGGTGATTATATTTTACTGATGGTTTGAAATATATCCGCTCAAGTTTTATAGTGTCATTAGGACTCATCCCAATTAATCGAGTTAGACTATCATTCATATTATCAACAATTTTTCTTGCAAACCGCTCACATTCCCTACAGCGTTCACCAGTAAGTAGAAAAAACTCTATTGAATACTGATTTTTAAAAACTCTAAACTTAAATAATTCAGCATAACGATCAACTATAGCCAAGCTTGTATGATTAAATCGTGCTATAATCCTTCAAATGTTAACATTATGTTCATTTATTATTAATGTCACACTTTCATAAACTCGCAATCTTGATCATATTATAATTTTTGAGACCAGTTGAGAGGATTGTCAGAATTATCATATAGACTCTTAAAAGCTTCTGCAACTTCTTCACTACTTTTTGACGTTAAAAAAATGAAATCTTTATACTGTAACAGGATTGGATTAATGAACGTG